AAATTTCCCATTCCCTCTAATTCCCTGTCACTGGAAACCACCATGCTACTTTCTGTCTCTATGATTGCCTATTTTAGGTATGTTATATAAGTGGAATCATATATTTGTCCTTTGTGTCTGATTTATTTCATTTAAGCATAACATTTTAAAAGTCCATCCATGTTGTTGCATGTTCTAGAATTTCATTCCTTTCTGTTGCTAAATAATATTCCATTGTATGTGTGTCTCACATTTTGTTTATCATTTATCCATTGATGGACATTTGGGTTATTTAGGCCATCACAAATAGTATATCTATGAACACTGCTGTACAAATAATCTGTTTGAGTCTTTGATCCATGTGTTATTTCTCTGATCCATTTTGAGTTAATTTTGTATATGACATAGGGTACAACTTCATTCTTTGGTGTATGGATATACAGTTTCTCCAATATTTATTGAAGACTATTTTTTCCCTATCAGCATCCTTGTTGAAAATCAATTGACCATATATTTGAGGGTTCATATCTTGGCTTTTTATACCATTGATTGTGATAGTAGGAGCAAATGTGACTCCATTTTGTTTTATGACTTCATCCTATAAAACAACCATGCCAAGTAGAAGGGTCATGACTGGGGCAAGATGTTCTTTTCCTTTTGCTATAGAAACCTTCAAGAACATGAAACTACCTAATGGGACATTGTTTCTGTAACTAGGGTAACAGGGCTCTGTTTCTGTAACTGGGGTGACTGGGCTAACTGTGATTGGTTAGGCTTCTCTCCGCTTGATTGCACTGTCCCGCTTCTGTTCCTGGCTTGCTTACATTGGCTAGACTCTGAGTAAAGTATCCCACACTGGCCCATCCCTTTTGCAGTTTTCAGGCTTATAAGGAGTGTCYTTGCTATTATTCGGGGCTGATCAGGGGAACAGCTTTATGTTCTGGTCAGCCGCCACCAGTGTGCTTCAATAAAGTCTTGATTCGATTATACATGAGTGATCTGGAAGTCAGTTTATGAAACCCGGGACGAAGCTTTAACTATAACAGATCATTGTGTTTATTCTTATTCTAGTACTGTGCTTACTTTTAAGTGGTAATACTTTGTCATTATTCCATCAATACATAATTCAGAAATTGACAAAGAAACATTTTTATGTTTAACAAAGAAAATTGTAGATGTGATATCTTGCCTATTTATGTCAAGTTCAGTACTGTAAAAAATAACAGAATCAACATTCTTAAACATTTGCCAAAGGCTCTTACTCTTCCTTTTCATTCACTGCTATTATTTCTCTTGCATAGTGTATGGTTTAGATGTTAGGTGTCCCCAAAAGCTCACGTGTGAGAAACAGTGCAAGAGGGCTTAGAGGTGAAATGATTGGGTTAGGAAAGCCTTGACCCAATCAATGAACTAATCCCTGATAAATGAGGCCAGAATTAGACAGGCAATCAGTATAGATAGGTAAATTGAGTCATGATGGATCAAGGAAGCCAATTTGAGTAAGTCCAGGAAGTTGGAGACTTCCCCTGAGGGACTGAAAAGACTTCAGAGTCTTTCCTCCACCCTATCAAGATAACCTACTAAAGTAACCTGTTCTAGGAATTGCCCCTGCCCCCCAGCTACAGGGAGTTGTAAAAATATCCAGCCCTTACCCAGTCCACCTGCTTCTTACCTTTTGGCCATCCCACAGAGCATCTCTATGCAGGAAGGAGATAAGGGGAAGAGAGCAGGAGAACAAAGGAAGCCTAAGACCTATAAGAGAGGCAGAACATCCTTGCTTCTTGGGATACCAGCTATGGCCCCCTTCTCCCTCCTGGGAGAAATCTATGTTACCTCTTTTTAAATAAACCCTGCATGTTATTTATATGCTTGCTTTGGCATACTTCTCTAATGTTATACTTCAACATGTGAGGGAGCAGAACTTGTAACCGGCAAGGGGGGGGGCGTGGTAATCACAACAATTATCTGAGTGATAACTGAAGGCAGGTAGGGTGTGGYTGGAAGAGGTAGGTCATTGGGTTCATGCCTTTGGAGTATATATTTTGTATCTGGTGAGTAGAGTCTCTCTCTCTCTGCTTCCTGATGTGATGCCCTGAGCCACTTTCCTTCACCACACTCTTCTGCCATGATGTTCTGCTTCACCTCAAACTCGGAGGAATGGAGCCAATTGCCTATGGACTAAGACTTCTGAAACTATGAACCCCCAGATAAACTTTCCTCCTCTAAAATTGTTCTTGTTGCTCTTTGGTCACAGCAGTGAAAAASCTGACTAAAACATGGTATTTCCGTGGGCTTTATTCTGTATAARATAAAACCCAAAGTCCTTTTATTACAATAGCCAACACTCTGCAATGATCAGGCCAATCAGTGCTCACCCAACTCTCTGCCCCCATTTCCTGTTGGGAAAACATATAACGGCAGCAGCACCCCAGAGAAAAACCCCAGCATGGCATCTAACGACCCTCTTTCTCCTCTTTGTATTTTTCACTGGCGTGAAACGTTCCCTCCGGCGCCAATGTTCAAATCCTGCTGGTGGGAAGCCTCAGCCCCAATTAGAATTAACTTCTTGGGCTCCGGAACTGACATATGGAAGAGCTTGCCAATAAAYGGGCGACTCTCCTTAGACCTATATAAACACACAGCCTTTGGTAATAAAGTGGAACCTCTTTGGTGATCTGTGTCGTGTGGTGCGGCGTCTTCCAGTCTTACATTTCCTAGTTTCATTCTGCCCCACTCATATTGGCTTTGTTACCACTGTTTACCAGTGAGGAGTCCTTGCTTCCCCGAATGCTGAAGTATAACACCAGAGAAGCATGCTGAGGCAAGTTTAGAGTGGAAAGTGGAAGGCTTTATTAAAGGACAGCAGAAAAGACTTCCTCCTGGAGGAAGAAGGGGGCCCAAAAGGCAGAATCAGTGGAAGGGGGAGGTCTTCCCTTTTTTATAGCTAAGGTCTTCTTTCAGCTTTCCCACACCCGTGTCCTTTGTTTTCCATTATCTTACAATGATAGAATGCAGATGGGAAGGCCCAAAAGATAGGGGCTAATTGGGYTGAAGGAATAATCTGGTCAGGAAGGGCCTGGTTTTTGGATTAGCATCTCCCTGTTTGCTGGGAGCTGCTTCATTAACATTTCCTTAGGATGGGCTCCAGACCTTGGGGACATTCACATTTCAATTTCCCCAAGTGCTGCTCTTGTTTCCTGGACTCCATTCTCAATAATGGCCTCCATTTTATTTATCTTACTCGATTTTAGACCCCATTTACCTAACTACACTAACTACCTATCTGTGAATCTGGCTTCAGCTTTATTGTTGTTCTTTAAATACACCAGCACAGGCCCACTTCAGTACATGTATCCTGTGCCTAAAGTACTATCTGTAATCACCGTGTCTAAATAATAACCAGGTTCCTCCCTCTTCCATACCCTTTCTCTGCTTAATAATTCTTTATGGCATTTAGCATATGATATCCTACATATGCACTAATTTGATTATCATCTACTTTCTAAACAAACACTGGAATGCAAGCTTTTTGAGGGAAGGATTCAGCACCAAAGAATGAATGCTTTAGAAAAAAAAATACAGTGTGTCCTTTTTTCATTCATTYAACTAATATTTATTGTGAACTTACTGTAGAAGAGGCACTAAGGTGAAAACACAGTGGATTTTAAACAGAACTGAATAGGTTCTAAAATATAAAATAATAAAATTGAAATATAAAATTAAAGTTTTAAAGGGTGGATGCGCTAGATAATCTCATAAATGGAAAGTCCAGTTTAGAACCCTTAAAGGAAAATCAAGGTCAAAGGACAGAGCACACTGCCCCTTGACTGTTGCTCAACACAACAGGGTGGAGAGCTGACCATCCAGAAGATTAGATTCTATTTCTAGGAAATTTGGAACAGGAATTCCTTGAAGCTAGCCATTCTTGACTCATCTTTTGAAGCTAGAGGGATAAAYATCTCCATGTAGAGCAATTACTTTCCCTTCTACAAACTCAGCCTACTTACCAGGGCCAAGGATAGCCTGTGTGTGTGGCTGTGGGGTGCATCCTCCTGTGAGGTCTTGTTAGAGACCCTGCAGGAATAGAGGCAAAAGCAGCTCTTGAAGAGTGTAACCATGTTCACAATCTATATTTGAAATGTACTATATTTTCAAGGCCCAGTGGAAAATGTGTCCTGTTCTAAATATAGCACTTACTTTTCTATACCTGCTAGATTTAGGTTGAAGCTATGGGGCACAGCCCAGGCAGTCACCTTCACTGAAGGGCTTCAGCTACACCACTTATATCAGGACAGAAAGGTTTTGGGGTACAGCCTGGTGCTTAAACTCRGTCTCACTTTAATGCCATTTCCTTCTTTATCATGATTCTCTCTTCCTATCTCTCGCCATTGCAGCACATTCTTTAAAGTCCTTGAATATGTCCTCCAGCACTCAGGCAGTTAAATTTGTCAATTTATCTATCAGTTTAATGGTTTTTTTTTCTTCCTCAGTTTCCCTATTTGTAAGATTGTTTGGCTGGTACCGTTTACCAATCTTTTCAACATTTTGTTTTCTTTTGCTTTCATTAGGGGGGGTGGGGGTGGAAGGGAGGGGGGGTGGGGGAGAGAAGCCTAGTGTGGATGTACTTAATCCAACCCTTTTGCAGGCACATGGTAAATGGAGGCGTTCATAAATATTTATGAATGAATGAATGCATAAGTATGTGAGTGAATGGGTGAGAGGACATGATGTTTTTAAGCTGAATGCGCGCGGGGAGATGGGAATGTGCAGAACCATTGAATGAGGTTGATTTGCCTCCCTGTGCTCCTATGAGTCCTCCAGACTSACCTACCATGCGCGTCCACGCGGGGGCAGGAGTGAAGGGGGGACCAGAGAGTAGAGGCGGGACTACGAGGACACGCCGCAGGAGGGCGAAGCTACGAGTGCGCGCCAGGGGCGGGGCGCGCCAGGGGCGGGGCTAGGAGGGGCGCCGGGCGGAAGGGGCGGGGAGGGCGTGCCTTAGCGCGCGCTGGGCGCAGCCTTCGGTGCAATGGCCAGAGCCGACTCCCGTGTCCGGGCCCCACCCGGACGCTGAGCGCCTCCGACTGCCGAGCGCGCCGGCGCCGGGCCATGTACTCGGGGAACCGCAGCGGCAGCCAGGGCTCCTGGGAGGGCGACGGGCCTGCGGGCGCCGAGGGGTCGGCGCCAGAGGGGACGCTGAGCCCCACACCGCTCTTCAGTCCCGGCACTTATGAGCGCCTGGCTCTGCTGTTTGGCTCCGTGGGGCTGCTGGGCGCTGGCAGCAACCTGCTGGTGCTCGTCCTCTACTACAAGTTCCAGCGGCTCCGCACACCCACTCACCTCTTCCTAGTCAACATCAGCCTCGGCGACCTGCTGATGTCCCTCTTCGGGGTCACCTTTACCTTCGTGTCCTGCCTAAGGAACCGCTGGGTGTGGGACACCGTGGGCTGCGTGTGGGACGGGTTCAGCAGCAGCCTCTTCGGTGAGTTGGACCACGAGGAGGAAGCATCCTCGCCTCAGCTCCCCACTCCCAGCACTGACACTTCCCTCCTGCTTGGCTTCCCTCGCTCCTGCACGGCTGCAGAGCCTCACCACCCCTTCTGCCRCCCCCCGCGACCCCCAGTGCATGGTGTGTCTGCCACCTTCCCTAGTCTCCTCCACCCGCGCTGCCGCGACTTCGCTCTCGGGGCCCGCCTCTTCCCCCGCACTCTGACCCTAAAGCGGCTTCATCCTGAGCTGCTCTTTCAGGCTCCAGCCCTTGCATAAAGTCTCTGGCTTCAGGCAAGCTCATCTTTCATCTCAGGTCTCTGTTTTCACCTCTTGATAAAAACTCAACAGGGCATTTATTTCACCACAACGTTTTACATTTTGAGGAAACGAGGGCCTGTAGAGTCAAGAGATCCAAGAGGGRAAAAAAAGCTTATCTCATGAAAGTTGGAGGAAGAGACAAGACATTTAATTCATATATTGTTTTTTTCCTAAAATGAGAAGTAGCGACCTAAAATTGTGGCAGCTTCTATTATTTTTTCTTTTGCTCATTAACAGTTGTAAACCTTTGTTTCCTAAGGAATGAGAAAGTTTCATTCAGGTTCTTAGAATGCAGATTGGCATGTGTCCTATCAGGTATTTTATATTGTATTTTTCCTCCTTTATACTTTCCATCATACCAAAATCAACGGCTCAGAGAATCCCAAAACAGGTGAACAAATAATTAGCTATGTAGCCAATATATTTCATTAAAGGTGGAACTTGACAATTGATTRAAGATTTATTTGTACAGTATTCCTAATCCTTATGGAAGATTTTTAGGTCTCATTGAGATGACATTTTGAAGGATGCCCAACCCCAGTATATGATTCAAGACATATTCTAAGCTTAGAAAAGAACTTACTTTGTGTATTCCAGGAATTTCATTTGTACAAAGAGTTGAAATAGAAATGTGTATTTTTGAGGTCTTGAAGTTTCTAAGTCTTGAAATCCATTGATGATTTATTACTGCTATTATCTTGGCAGATATTAGAGATCAAAAGTCTTTATAACACCATTACAAATATTTTCTTATTCACCAACCCTCTATGCTGTAGCAAACCCAAATATTATGCTATTTTTCATGGTTAATTTTCTTAATATTTCAARAGAAACAAGAAAATGTCAGAGAAGTCATGATTTCATTTATTTGATTGCCTCAATGATTTTAGTATTCTCTTCCTCCCCAATAAGGATTAATCTGAGAATTTCCTTAATGCAAAAATTTGAAGCTTGCAGAAGGGACTGTAAATGTACAGATGACTCTGTGATTACACTCTTTATGTTAATTAAAGATATCTATTGGGCAGTTTTGTAGGCCCCGCTGAACTTTGAAGAAGGTGATTCAAGCCTAAGCTTAAGGTATCAGTAAAGCCCCCCAAGGTGGGCAACGGTTGTTGGTTCACACAAATGAAAATTCTTATTTCCATGAAGTGCCTTTTCTGTGCTGGAAAATTGTGCACAAGGGAGTTTGAAAACAAGGATGTATCTAGGTTTTTTGTTGTGGTGGTGGTTTTTTTTTTTGTTTGTTTGTTTTAATTTGTGCTTCCTCACCCATTTTCTTTGCTGGCCCCCACACTCTTGTATGCCTCTTTTTTCTCTTTTACCATCCCTGATCAGGTCACATATCAATCAGAAGTGATTTTTCTAAGATGCTAGAAACATTCGCCACATAATATTTTACCTGATGGCTGCTCTACTTCTCAAGGTGTTTAGTTAGTGCTTTCAACCATGATATCCTCATTTTAGAATTAGAGGTGGACACTCTGAGATTAAAGGGTCAAACTTAAACACTGGAAACAAGAGTGAGATTACTGTGGGGTTTAAAAAGTTCTTAGTAAAGATTAAGAATTTCTTTGCCTGAAGTGTGCTTCTAGATTAGGATTACAGATGAAAGTTTTCCCTTGTTGTTACCCTGAACAAGAACAAATCGACCATGAAGTTTTGAAGGGAGAGGGAATTTAAAAATACCAGAAGTAGCTGCTTGTTCCTTAGGGTTTGGAGAGACTTTCCCATCCAGTGGGAAATTCACTGGCCTTAGGGTAAAAGGATGGGTCCTGCTTTTGATCCTGTGGGCTTTCTCAAGTCTCCCCTGCCATCAGTTTTTTCATTTTTATTATGGAGTAATTGAGCTTAATGTTCTTTAAGATCATCCTCTTACTTTGTATTTTGAGGATTCCTTTGATATGTGTAGTTTAGATGGTGCTGGGTATTGGTGCTAATGTCTTGTATCCTCATCTCCTACTCTCAGCCCTGTTCCCTTCTAAGCCAAGAATAAGCACATACCATGGTTGTTATTCTTCAATACCCTCATAGGTTCTGTCTTCCTCTTTACAACCCGCTAGAAGAAGACMGAATAAGCAAATCAGTATATTTTTACTAGAGTAAATCAGGTATATATATGCATGCATGAATATATCAGGCAGKTGTTTTATTTTGTCAGATCCTGTTTCTCAGAGAATTCTGAATATAAGTGAAATCTGATGTTCTTGAGGCAGAAACTTTTGACTAAATAGGACTGCTAGGATCACCATTTCAGTTAAACTGAGCAATGGGTCAGTAACCTAGTCAATTTAATCTAAGTTCTGATTGAATGGCTTTTTTTTTTTTTAACCAGTATCCATAATAATCAGTCCTTCTGGTCTTGGCAGGTCCAGCTTGTGCCAGTCTAGATTTAGGTAGAATTAATGGTAGTAAAAATTAAAGGTCTAAGAACTTTCACTGCTACTGTACCAGGATGGATAGAAAAGAGCACTGTAGGGTATGTCTTTAACCTGAAGACTTCCAGGTGAGTATCCCTTTAGGCCGTTGCTATGCCACTTCTGGCCACACCTAGCATCAAACATTTGCTCTACAGATAGACTATAACCAGCATCATGCTGGAGGTTAATGGGGAGACTTMCTGCACCACACCTTCAAAATTAAATAAATAACATATTATTGTTATCCTCAGCCGAGGATGTTTAGAAAAACCTTTTTTCTTGGGACACAGAGATTCAGGGTTAGAGTTTGGCAAAAATGCAAACCATTATTTTATTCAAATGTTAGAAATGGGTGATATTTATGTTAAGATATTTTAATATGTGAAACTAGGATTTTTTTTAATTATAAAATACACACATGCATATGTACGTTCATATAAAGACTGATTATATGTACATTTTTCCCCTCGTTCTGTTCTTTTGTGCCTAAATATTTTTAAATGCCAGCTGTTTTATTGAATTAATTTTTATGTAGTAATCTGACTGGTTAATAACTCAGTCAAAATAGTTGCTTGTTGCTATCACAAGATTCTAAGGGTGGTTGGGGCAAGAAAAAGTCTTATGCTTGGCTTTACCAAAATCACCTGTAGACTCTTGGGCACAGAAATATTCCTAATTGTGACAGTATTTGTATAGAACATGATCTGTTTCCATAAACACAGTGAAGCCACACGTTTCATTCAGTCAAAGCTCACAGCTGTATATAGTTTTATTCAGGTGGTTTCTTAAAAGCCAAAATTAAGTTATGCTAATTCTTTTTTGTTTTTGTGGGCCACTGTTTTCATTCTTTATTATTCTGGTTATTTTGGGGAGGGGGATATGCCTGTATTGTTCATTTTCAAGAAAGTAGAAAATATGTGAGAAAGCATTTGATGACTTGCTTTAGTAGAGTTTTGTATCCAGATRTTAAGTCAGGTTCCAGTAGATTATAATTGGTATTGCATGAAATTACTTCTCTTATTTGTTTACAGTTGTATTCTTTCTTAAATTTTCTTCTTTCAGAGAAGAGTTCCAGTCACAAATGCATATGTGATGCATTTTGACATTTACTGCTAAGCCGAAATGCAGAAATGAAAACCACACGTCCGTTTTAATATTCTCAGATGTGATTAGATGTACTTTATCATGGTTTTATGCTACTGGCTTATAAAAAAAATACATTAAAAAAGGGAAACAGTTAAACAACTAGGACCTGCAAACCCAATGCTTCTGGGATGAACTGGAACATCACAAGGAGAGATTTTATTATGCATAAGCAGACCTCAGCAGAGCCCTCAGCCTAGATTTATACACATTTCCTTCATCAGCAGCTGTCACAAGACACTTTGCCTCCTAGAATGGCAGACATTCTCCCCACAGAGTTTGATGTGGTTATAATAGGGACAGGTCTGCCTGAATCCATCCTTGCTGCTGCATGCTCAAGAAGTGGACAGAGGGTTCTACATATTGATTCAAGAAGCTACTATGGAGGGAATTGGGCTAGTTTCAGTTTTTCAGGATTGCTATCCTGGTTGCAGGAGTATCAGCAAAACAGAGATACTGAGGAAGAAAATACTGCCTGGCAAGACTTGATTCATGAAACAGAGGAAGGCATCACTCTTTGCAAGAAGGATGAAACCATTCAACACATAGAAGTTTTTTGCTATGCCAGTCAAGATAAAGAGCACAATGTTCAAGAGATCGGTGCTCTTCAGAAAAGTCCCTCCTCAATGGCGTCTAGTACCCTCATTGAATCTGTGGATTCTGCRTGCTTGCCCAAAGAAAGGGACTCCTCTTACTTCACTAGCTCTGAAATATCTGCCCAACATACCCAAAAAAGTGCTAAAGATATTTCACTAGAARTAACTGATGTACAAGAATCATTAGAGAAAGATAAAACTTGTATACACACAATTTCAGGTGGGAGTAAAGGTGAAAACAAACCTACAATAGAAGATAACATTGATCAGCCAAAGAGAAATAGGATTACTTACCCTCTAATAGTTGAAGAAGGCAGGAGATTTAATATTGATTTGGTATCAAAGCTGCTATATTCCCAAGGATCACTGATTGATCTTTTAATCAAATCAAATGTTAGTCGTTATGCAGAATTTAAAAATGTAACTAGGATTCTTGCATTTCGGGAAGGAAAGGTAGAACAGGTGCCTTGCTCCAGAGCAGATGTATTTAATAGCAAAGAACTCACTATGGTTGAAAAAAGGATGCTGATGAAATTTCTTACCTTTTGTTTAGACTATGAACAACAACCTGATGAATACCAAGATTTCAAGCAATGTTCATTTTCAGAGTTCTTAAAAACTAAAAAGTTAACCCCCAGCCTCCAATACTTTATACTACACTCAATTGCAATGACATCAGAATCATCATGTAGCACATTAGATGGCCTTAAAGCAACAAAAAACTTCCTTCAGTGTCTTGGACGGTTTGGCAACACTCCRTTTTTATTTCCCTTATATGGCCAAGGAGAAATTCCCCAGTGTTTTTGCAGGATGTGTGCTGTTTTTGGTGGAATCTATTGTCTTCGCCATAAAGTACAATGCCTTGTAGTTGACAAAGAATCTGGTAGATGTAAAGCAATTATAGATCACTTGGGTCAAAGAATAAATGCTAAATATTTTATTGTGGAGGATAGTTACCTTTCTCAGGAAACATGCTCCAATGTGCAGTATAAACAGATCTCAAGGGCAATACTCATTACAGATCAGTCTATACTAAAGACAGAGTCAGATCAACAGATTTCCATTTTGATAGTGCCTCCAATAGAATCAGGAGCCTGTTCTGTTCGGGTCACGGAATTATGTTCATCAACCATGACATGCATGAAAGACACCTATCTAGTACATCTGACCTGTGCATCTTCAAAAACAGCAAGAGAAGACTTAGAATCCGTGGTGAAGAAATTATTCACTCCTTTTACTGAAACAAAAGAAGAAAAAGAAGAACTTAGAAAGCCAAGACTTTTGTGGGCTCTATATTTTAATATGAGAGATTCCTCGGGAATCAGCAGAAGCTCCTATGATGGCTTACCTTCAAATGTTTATGTCTGCTCTGGGCCTGACTGTGGACTGGGAAATGAGCATGCAGTCAAACAGGCAGAAACTCTGTTTCAGGAGATGTTTCCTGGTGAAGAATTCTGTCCTCCTCCTCCAAATCCAGAAGACATTATCTTTGATGGTGATGATAAGCAACCAGAAGCTCCTGGAACCAACGTAATAATGGCCAAGCTTGAATCCCCCGAGGAAAGCCAAAACTTGGAAAGCCCGGGGAAGCATCTTCAGAATTAGAAAAGAACTCAAAATGCTCTTCATCCTGGAATCGATATATTATTATTTGAAGGACAGCTTCCTACATAAAAGAATGGTATGCAGATGTCTTTAACATGATTTGAGACATTGGGCACTGGGTGTCTTTGTGAACCTATTATTTGTCACTAGACTTTTTTTTTTTTAATTTCAGAATCGGCTCCATGATCCAGAATATCAAAAAAGGATTAGCTTTATTTTAATATTGGGTATTGTGTGAGGGTTCCATGTTAGCAGCTTTGCTAAAGAAAAGTAGTATTGTGCCTACTACTGGTCTTTAAATTTTCTTTATCTACAGAACAATTAATATCATTTAAGAAACACTCTAGTTACTATTGCAGCTACTAAAATTGCTATCACCTCTGCTTGAATAGTGAAACACATACAAATAATAAATTTTGTGAGTTTTTTATAAATAATATAAACATGTAGGCTTAGTAGTAGGAATAGCAATAGTACAAATACCAATATGATAAAATACAATTGTTTCTAATTGTTAAGTCTGATGTTAACAATACATTTTGCAGGTGAATTTATCTACTTGACCCTTATAACCCATGARGCAGTGAGACCATTATAGCCTTCTACTTTAAAGAGTCAAGAGTTTGTAGTTGAAGAGCTCATTTGTGGGAGATACACTCCAAGGAAATTTAGAAGTTAGAGTAGTTAAAAAAAAATCTCTAAAACCTTGCTTTGACATCTAAAACAAAAGATCTTCCAACAAGTAACTCAGGCCAAAATAAAAAAATAAATGACCCCAGAAAAAAGATATTTCAGGATGACCATTCCAAAATTTCTAAAAAGGATCCAAAGGAAAAACTGAGTGGGACACTTTTAACCTAGGATTATAGATGATTTTAAAATTCTCTGCTTAAATAGATTTTCTTATCCCAGTTTTCTCAGGATGAAACTACCACCTTGTCTCTGTCACTTTAATTAGCAATAGTAGCCAAGATACTGAGTCAAAGTAGGATTTACTGTGCCCCTATGGTTGTGTCCCATCCCACAAATAGGTAAGAACAGCCTTCATAGTTACTTCTGCTTCTTAGCTATATCTGGAGAATAAATGCCCCCCCATCCAAAGTTTAAAAAAAAAAAAGGTCATTTACTCCAACTTTCTAAGGTGAAAGCTTGGGAAGCTGTCAGCGGAGGTGAATTTCCATGATTAATTCCATTTCCAGTCCTYAGGCAGAGAGAATGATAATCCTATAGAAACCCAAATCATTTCATAACCGTGTTTGTTCTCAAAATAGCATTTACTATGTGCTGGGCATACTGTGCTTTCTCACTACAGTTTCTCAATAATATAAGGCAGATACTATTGCATACATTTTCAAAGAAGTATGGAGACTCAGTTATTAATCATTACTCATTCTGATGTGTGGATGAGCCAGTATCRGAACCCATTCTTTCATGATTCCATAAACCATTCATCTTTCTATCTGCAATCATTGTTAGAAACGTATAGGTACAGAATGAGAAGGAAAAGGTGCCCATGAAAGTCAAAATCTAATGTTGCTGGGCAAGAAAAGTAGACAGACCCTGGTCTTTCAGCTTATTGTTAAGTCAGAGAAATRTGAATAAGATTAATTAAATGTTTTAGAGCTATGAATCTCATTGAAGCAGAATTCAACATAAGTTTAACAAAATAATGCTCTTTGGTGACATCTTTTGGTCTGAAGTTCTAAAAAATGTTAGTAGACCAAAATATGTTCTAATTCAGTCCTTCATCACAGATTTAAGTAATTGACAGATTTAAGTAAGACAGATTTAAGTAATTGACAGCATACTGGAAGTATAAAAATCATGGGCTGATATTAATATTGACTTTTAAAATACAGTAAAGTGGTATATTAGTAAGTAGATCCTAAAGTTTAAACCTATCAAAAAGTTGAAATGCCTAATTACTACAAAATACTAATTAAAATGAATAAAATTGTAAGATAAATAAAATGAAAGTGAAAGTAATTCAGTTTTTCAGTATCACAGGTTATTCATGAGAAATACAGAAAAGTAACAGTGAAAAGTTTCAAAATATGGTATCTACAGACATAATGGAAATAAAAATAAAAAGTATTATATGAGGCCACAATAGAGATTGTTTTAAAAAACTAACAAAATGAATATCTTACTTTCTTAAATCAATACAAAATAGCAAGTTGGAAATAAGACAAGTTATAAACTGTAAAAAGCATTTAAAAATATAGAGGATATTATAATGTAGTATAGTTTTCTGACAAAATAGAATTTGACCCAATGGATTTATTAACTTTTTTAAATGTTTAAGGAAAATGTGTATCAAAAAAGATGATATACTTACATTAATTGCATTTTGAGGTACATACGGCTTCAATATTAAAATTCAAACATTCTTTAAAAGGTCTCATTCTTAGCAAATGCAATATGAAAAGGAAAATGTGGGCAAATAATATATCAACAAAAGTCTTTATTTATTGTGACTCAGAATTAGAAGGCTGATGTTCAGCAAAGCAGCCATTGTATCAACATAAGTAGAATAAAATGGTAAAAAATCCAAAGTATTAGCTACTGCCAAAGTTAGTAGTCTCAACTCTTTAAAAATTTATCATTCATCTTTGATTTAATTATCTTTGGTAATTATTTCATTTTTTAGTGTGATAATTACTTGAAACTAATAATTAATATTCATATTGAGGAAACAGATATTTCTCAGTTTGAAATTAAACTATGCTGGCACCATTTTCTTTATATATGGTTGAAGAAATTTGCCATTGAGAAAAAGAAATTCACAAAATAAGAAAGATAAGAAAACACCACAAATTTTATTTTCTATTTACATGGCTTTATAGCTAGCTAATCTTATACTGTCATATAAATCTATTAATGAGACTAATTCAGGAAGTTGCAGGATATATCATTGTTAAAAATCTAATTTCTATATGCCAACAGTGACTGCAATTTAAAGTGTTTGGGTATTAATATATATGAACCATATAAAGGATGTTATGCAACTATATTGAGACAATTTAAGAAAAATGCTTAAATAGAAGCAGGTTGAAGGAGCTAAATTTAAAATATGTGCATACTCTCATGAGAGACATCCTGATATAATGGAAAAGTTGTACATGTGGAGTCCTTGCATCACATCTTATTAGTTGTCTCATCTCAGGGAAAAACACTTTTAGCTTCCATTTTACCACCTATATTAGAATTAATAATTATTGTGAGGATTGAGTTAGTGAACATGAAATTATTGTCCAAAGGAATGTCAATATATGACATGGATGTGTAGATTTATTTTAATACCATTTAACATTCCTACTGGATGTTTCATGTAACTTGACAGAATTAAAAGAAATTACCTAGGCAAGTAAACAGGTAAAGATGTTTTTAAATTAYGAGAAAAAGTGGGAGCTTTGCCTTTTAAGTCTTTGAAGCATRCCTTTGAGTGACTTATCTAAAAACTCTGTGATGCTGAGCAGAAAGCTTAGCTAATATGAATAAACAGAAAGAGGTATTTAATAGCCACTGACAGAAAGTATTTAATAACTATTGGTAGAAAGACTAGTTGTTTCATTGTGGACATAGATTAACACCATATGATAATGCAACTTATGCCAGTTGAATTAAAATGTTAACTATAAAAGTAAAAACGAAAATATTACAATTTTCATTCCAATATTGGTGCCAAGGAACTTCATGGCAATGAGAAATATTGACAAGGTAGATCAACAAATAAAAAGATGAAAAATTATAATAAACAAAAAGAAAAGATGGAATAAAAAGGGTGTTTGCATTATATAAGTGGTTTAATAATGTTTTTAAAAGTGGATGGAAATCCTTAAGGCTTTATCCTCTTTACTAGGTAGATTTAGTAAGGGATAGGTTACAAATGAGAAGATATAAGTAAAAATAAATTTTTAGAAAGATGTTCAAGTTAAATATTTTAAAAGGAGATTTAAATGACTTTGACCTAGTTCTTGCTATTAAGCAAAACTTTTAAATTTGTGTTTGTCTATACCAATAGCACTATATATTAGTAGTCATTTTAAAGAACTTTTTAGAAGACTAACAAGAGCTCTATAACTGATTTTTTTTTTTAAATATACCAGATCACTTTGAATACCACATGTATGCCTGGGAAAATACTTAAAAGAAAGAAAGAAAGAAAAAGCTACCTGTAGCAGTTCCTTTCATACAAATTTAAAAGAAAAAAAGCCTATTAATTCAGAAATGGATAAATTTTGGTGTATTGTTGTTGCTATCATAAACATATAGCCATTAGTTAATATTGATATATGTAAAATTGTATGCAAAACTGAGATCAAAAAATGTTAATTAGAACATATATTTACATATTTGTATAAATTTGTATGTATCTGTGTTGAAAAGAATCAGAAGACATTTAAGTAATTGCAGCTTAATAAGGGGTTCTTTTTCTGTAAAATACTGATGTGTAAAATAAAGAATAAAAGATTTATTGTAAGTTGGAATTCTTAMTTGTTGAGAAAATTACTGATTTTTTGGAAACTCCTCAGATTCTACTTTAAATTAAAAATTTTTTAAAAAATTCTAAGTGGTAAAGGTTCAAAAAGTTAATCTCCAGAAATGTGTGGCAGAAAGTTTTCTAAGTCTTGGTGGAAAGGAATTCTTGGTCACAATGGACTTTGTATCTTTCGTAACTTAATTGCCCAGCATTAAAGAATGATAATAAAAATAACAGTAATGCGTTCCAGGACCTTAGCAGTTAGAAATTGCATACTTTCATGGCCCCAAATCCAAGAACAGACATAATATGGGAGTGTCAGAGCAGAGAGAAGAAGGCTGGATTCATAGAAGTGGAGACCTATGTTGCAAGGAGACCTATGTTGAGGACAGATTTCAGGACTGAGGATGCAGGCAGACCATTTCTCCCAGTCCCTAGAGATCCAAATCAAGATGATTTAATTCAACAAACAGGTTAAACACCAATTGGATTCTAAGATCCAGAAATATAAAAATGAATAGAATAAATTTTCTACCTGAGAAACATTTTGTTTAGAATATTTAGTTTAAAGTCTCTTTTACCTTAATGAGTACTTTATACCTTTACTATACATCACAATTTCAGTTGTAAATACTACTGTTCCCGTTCCCTTAATTCACCAAAGAAAAAAATGCATGGCATTTATTTTATAGGGTGCCCAAATCTTTTGTTACACCCTTGGAAACAGGKAGTTAAAGGGTTAAAATCTGGGTCAGCTAGCACTTTCTGAAATCTATTTCAGCTACTAATTATTTATTAGTATAGCAGTTATAAGCTTTGTGTCCTGCTTGGGGTAAGAGCAAAGAGAAGGTAGAAGAAATTGGGTCCAGAAACTCAAAAATCATTGGGGGTTTAGAGAGTAGGAAGTGTAAAGTAATCTAAGTGAGACAAGCAGATCAGTTTTAATACCAAGAAATCCTCTAGTAAGGATTAGTTTAATTTGCTTTTATCTGGATGGATCAAGTCATGCTCCCATTTGCCTTGAGTTGTTCCCTCTGAAGATTTTTAAATGTGTACCTTCATTATAAAGAGGCATTGTTTCTAGCAGAGTTCCTTTTCATTTAACCAACCACCTTATGTATTCACATTGCAACAGCAGGGGGTGCAGTTCCTCCAATTTTCTATCAGGCGTTAATAATACAGAACATGGTTCACCTGAAAGAGTTTGACTAACATGAATATTGTGACGACAATTCTGCTTCAGCATGTATAGGAATGCTTTTCTTCTGACAACTCTATTATGTGGTCCGAAGAATAACTGCRGAAGGTAAGAATGGGCAAGTATTTATATTTACTTTATAGCTGAGACCTGGAAGAATCAAAGTAACTTGCCTGAACTCACTCCTAGTTAGTATTTAGATCCACTAGTAAGACTTGAAATGCTACTATTCCATTTTGCGTCCATCACAAGAGAGGGAATTATTGCGTATATAAGAGTGCATAACAACTTGGGTTAAATCCTCAGTTCCATGTCCTAGTTTCTATGTTCAGTTTTGGGAATACAAGATAGTGATTATAACACAGAGCACTTACCATATGCTACATATTAACTATAAGTTATTGTTATCTTTATTTGGTCCTCATAACAATCCAATTGGTAGGTACTTATTCCCATTTTGCAGTTGGAGAAACAAACACAAGACAAAGAACTTGACCAAGATCACATGCTGTTCCGGTAAGTGGTAGAAGGGACTTCAGATGCAGGCAGTCTGATGCCATAAACCAAATGTGACAGAGATATGACGTGGTATTTTCAGAAAGTTGTCAAATCTGGTTGTTAATCAGATTAAGTCCAATATTTCAGAAACGTATTTCTTCACTATATTGTTACATGTTTTCAAATAACCCCACAAGGGTAGTAATGTTTTCATGTAAAATGAGAAATATGACTCAATACCTTTCTCAAAATTACAGAATTAGTTAAGTAGTRCAACTTTCAATCTATTGGGACTGACATTGTTGCACAAGTAACCACTGTTTTAATCAGGCTGTAGTAATCACTATAATATAGGTGTAGATAAACTTTAATGGATGCACAGAGAAATGACTTTTGTCTGACTAGGGAAATCTGGGGATGATTCACAAAAGCAAAGGTATTTGGACTGGGCCCTGAACAGGATTTCCACAGACTGCTGTGTGGGAAAACATTCTGTGCAAAAAGAATGGCAGAAACAAAGCATACAGGTATCATGGACATGGCGTGCCTGGCTCAAGCATGAGGAGAGCCTGCACTGATGTGGAGAGGCAGGACATATGGGATAGGGGCCAACGAGGTTGGGACTTTTATTCAGTGGATAACACACTGTGCACGTGTTTTCTTCCTAAGACCTGTATTTCAGAGGCTACCCTGGTGGCTRTGTGTAGGAGGCTGGGAAGAAGGTACAGAGACTGGATGCAGGTGATTGGTAAGGGGGAAGCATGTGATAAGACCTGGGTAGGGCAGGGTGATAGAAATGAAAGAAGCAGAGAACAATTTGGAGGTAGAAATACAGGACCTGGAGAATGATTATTTTGTTTATTTATTTACTTTTATTTATATATGACAGCAGAATGCTTACAATTCTTATTACACAAATAGAGCACAATTTTCGTATTTCTGGTTGTATACAAAGTATATTCACAMCAATTTGTGTCTTCATACATTTACTTTGAATAATAATGATTATCATATTCCACCATTATTTCTAACCCCATGCCTCCTCCCTTCCCCTCCTATCTAGAGTTCATCTATTCCTCCCATGCTCCTGCTCCCTAACCCACTATGAATCAGCCTCCTTATATCAAAGAAAACATTCAACATTTGGTTATTTGGGGTTGGCTAACTTCACTAAGCATTCTCTTCTCTAACTCCATCCATTTACCTGAAAATGCCATGATTTTATTCTCTTTTATTACTGAGTAATATTCCATTGTGTATATATGCCACATTTTTTTTATCCATTCATTTATTGAAGGGCATCTAGGTTGGTTCCACAGTTTAGTTATTGTGAATTGTGCTGCTATAAACACTGATGGGACTATGTCCCTATAGAATATTCTTTTTTAAGTCCTTTGGGTATAGACTGAGGAGAGGGATAGCTGGGTCAAATGGTGGTTCCATACCTAATTTCTGGAGAATGATTATATGTCCCACATAAGAGACAGAATAGGAAGTTGAAAATGACTAAAATTTCATCTTTGGTATTTGATTGAGTGATACATTTAACCAATACTGGGAACAGGTTTTGAAGAAAAGCAAATGGATTTGGTTTTGCTCATACAAGATAATCAGTAGGTCTTAGAGTACTCTGCATGTCAAGCTAAGGACTATTGACTTTATCCTAGTAGAGAAACAATGTTATTAAACAAGGAATTGAACTGGTGCATTTGAGGGGTGTGTGTGTGTGTGTGTTGTGTGTGTGTGTTTTTCCCTATCCTCACACCCCCACCCACTATGTTTGGAGGATTACAAAGGAGGCATGACTGCAGACAGAGAGTCTAGACATAAGGCTATTATAGTAGTTTGGCAAGAGATGGTGAGGATCTAAATTAGGTCAATAGTTGGAGAGCAAAGGACAGGTTTGAGAATTATTGAGAAGATTAACTCAGCATGACTCAATGGTTGGTTGCACATGGATGCTGCAGGAAAATTTAAAAAGAGCTGGTAGATATAGACCTAGGGGGAATATAGACATAGTGCCCAGCCTGAATTTAACACAGTAACTCCTGCTTTTGGATTAGTTCTGGGTTAGAAAGATTCCTTTTCTAGAATTCCTAAGTACACTCTATTTATTTATTTTCTCCTAGGCTTATGAAGAATCAAGGATTTGAATTAGGTATTGCCAATACCTTGATTACCAGAGAATCTGTCTTAAGATCTGTCCAAATAGG